GGGGGGCTGGAGCCCCCCTGTGAGGACAGGCTGAGAGAGTTGGGGGGTTCAGCTGGAGAAGAGAAGGCTCCGGGGAGACCTTAGAGCGGCCCCCCAGGACTGAAAGGGGGGAGGGAAAGGGGGGAGGGACTCATCATCAGGGGGAGGGATAGGACGAGGGGGAACGGGGTTAAACTGACAGAGCGGAGATTTAGATCAGATCTAAGGCAGAAATTGTTCCCTGTGAGGGGGTGAGGCCCTGGCACAGGCTGCCCAGAGAAGCTGTGGCTGCCCCCTCCCTGGAAGGGTTCAAGGCCAGGTTGGACGGGGCTTTGGGCAACCTGGGCTGGTGGAAGGTGGCCCTTCCCGGGGCAGGGGGGTGGCATTGGGTGATCTTTAAGGTTCCTTCCAACCCAAACCAGTCTGTGACACAAATTCAGTGTTTCATTAATGATTTCATTAACAGTGTGTGCCACAGGACGTTAAGCACCTCACTATTTAAAGTCAATGCTCCTGACCTATGTATCCTCTCCTGGGGGGGAGGTTTGGGTTGGAGAAGTGCCCAGTTTCAGGTGGCACCTCTGTGATACCATAAACCCCAACACAGATGCTCCATGAAGACGCAGAGTTGCTGATATACCCCCAGCCACCGGTGAGTGGTCAGAGCTCAACCGAGCACAGAGTCCAAAGGCAATCCCCCCCCCTCAGCTTCCTCAAAGAACCCAGCAGCATCTCCCAGCCTGCCGCTACCTAAAGGCCCCTGTGACCAGAGCAGCCCCATCCCCCAGCACACACCCACCTCCTCCTGCGATTTGGGGCTCCTTGAGCCTTTCGGGGGGGGGGCTCTTCCACCTTCAGGCCAGCCTCTGGACAGCCCACGGCCTGTGACCTGCTAAGGGCAGGACTTGGCAGCCCCAGCACTGAGCACTGGGGTGATTTTTTGCAGACAGCCAGAGCCCAAGAGGATTTCTGTCTAAGAGGGGATGGGAGAATCCAACACGGATACAAGGTGAGGAGATGCAGGATTTTGGGCAGCAGCAAGTCTGTCTGGATTTCACAGACCACATGTACAATCACCAGGCATCAAACCCCAGAAACCCACCCCATTGCCAGTGTAGTGAGCAGCAGAGGGGGGGTTTGCTAACAATGAGTTTCACAAGTGTAGAGGGAAGGTGAAACCGAGCAGCAGACTAGCTGGAGAGAAGGTTTCTTTGAGCCAGACGTGGTTAACACAGAGTTAATGAAATGGCTCAGAGATGGAAGAACAGGAGGGCAGGTTGGTGCCTTGTTAGATGAAGACAGTGCTTAACCCAGGCTCAATCCTCCCACAAATTTATCCACTTTCAAAAATATAGACAGAACAGATAGACAAGACACAAAACTTTTAATGATTGTGGATCCAGGTGGAAACAATTTGAAATAAGGTGGTGACAGAGACTGTGGGGAGGTTGCTGTCACTGAGCACAGGGGACATCGGGCATTTCCAGGGCATGCAGGAGATGCCACTGCACTTCAAAGCAGCTCTCCTGCACCAACACAAGCTGCAGAGCAGCTGCTTTCTAGAGGGGCAAGACTACAAGTGCTTGTGCCTCTTGGAATATGACAAAAAAATGAGGATAAAACCCCACAAATCATTAAAAGAACAACCCGGGAGGAGCTGAAGCCCCAGATCCAGGCTTGGACCCAGAACCTGCAAACAGCACAGTCCAAACCGAGGGCACCGTCTCAGACGTGCTCTGACCCGCGCTGCGCCCGCACACAGGTTCAGGTAAGCTGGTGATCCCAGCCAGGCACCCAAATATTCACCTCTCCTCCGTGGCCAGCTCCCTCTCCTAGCGATATTGCTGCCTTTGTGGAGAAAACACAGGGGCAGGCTTTGGCTCCACGTCTTAACGCGCAGAACTCGCACAGAGACAATGCCAGAACTGCAGGAAAGTCTGGCCAAGCCACTGCTGAGACAGGGGATGGACAGGCAGGGCTCTGAGGTGACAGCCACCTCCTCTGGCCATGGGAATGGCTCTTTTGCCTGTTGGTGACTCGCCCAGGTGCTGAGCACATAAAGGGGACAGACATGGGGACACTCAGCTCTAACCCCACTGTTGGCTTCTTCGAGACCTTCCAGGGTGACTTTCCGATCTGGCCTCGCATGCCCTGGTACCTCCTTGCCTCGCACATGCTCTCACACAGGAGAGCTTTACGCCTCTGTGCTCATTCCCTTGGAAAAGCCACCTCTGCTCCCCCATCCCCAGCAGCTGAGACATCCCCACTCCTGCTGGTGGGTGCCCAGGAGGGCTCAGTGAAGCAGTAACTTCCTCTCCATGCCCATCAGGGCACTAGGAGTATTTAGAAGGCACCCAGAGGGCAGCACCCGGGGCTCAAACACAGTCACCAAACAGGCTGGAGGAACCCAAGAGGTGGCTCAGCAGAAGGCAAAGCAGGAAGGCAAAGGTGGAGGTGAGAGTAACTCAGATATCGTAGAAATCCACGTGGGCGCCGGAGGGGAAGGTGTCCTCTTCCAGGAGATTCACCAGCTTCTGGGCCGACACAGCACAGTCTATCAGCTGGCCACTCTCCTGCAGGCTCTGGAAAAACTGACGCATTTCAGGGTCCCCAGTCTTAGTCCGGGCTAAAAGCTGCATGTCCGTGTCCAGAGGACCTGGAGAACAACAACAACAACAAAATCACATAAGGAGGAAGCAAAATCCAGGATTCATTTTCCCACTGACCCTGGCTCAGCTGCAGGACTTTTTAACCCACAAAGCCAGGAGAAAATGAATAGCAATTAACAAGCTTCCCTCCTCACCCGGGGCGTAGTTGAGCACACGGACATCAGGCTCCTCGAGCGCCAGCACCTGGAACATCATGTCGCGGGAAGCCTTCCCGCTGCAGTACAGCGCCCAGTTTTTGAAGGGCTTGATGGCACAGAGCGAGGAGACGTTCACCACCGTCCTGCTCGAGCCAGGGCGCGCCCCGAAGGCTTGCAGGGCCGTGGCCGTGAGGCAGAGCGCCGAGGTGACGTTGAAGGCAAAGTAGCTGTTGATCTCAGCTGGGTCGGTGAGGTCGCGGAAGGATTTGGAGATGTCTCCCAGGGAGCCTAGGAGAGAGATAAATGAGTTAAGAGTAGTTAAAGATGGGTTCAACACCACAGCACATCCCTTTTGCTCTTGTGTTTCAGTGTGCAATGCTCTCTTACACACAGAATCCCAGAATTATCGAGGTTGGAAAAGCCCTCGCAGCTCCTCCAGCCCCACCATGACCCTCCCCCTGACCGTTCCCAACTCCCCCAGATCCCTCAGCGCTGGCTCAGCCCGACTCTTCAACCCCTCCAGGGATCCCGGAGACTCCCCCCTGCCCTGGGCAGCCCATTCCAACGCCCAACAGCCCCTTCTGCACAGAAATCCTTCCTCAGAGCCAGCCTGACCCTGCCCTGGGCAGCTTGAGGCCATTCCCTCGGGGCCTGGCGCTGGGGCCTTGGCTCCAGAGACTCATCCCCCCTCTCTGCCCCCTCCTGGCAGGGAGTTGCCGAGGGCCAGGAGGTCTCCCCTCAGCCTCCTCTTCTCCAGACTGAACCCCCCCAGTTCCCCCAGCCGCTCCCCAGCAGACCTGTGCTCCAGACCCTGCCCCAGCTCCGTTGCCCTTCTCTGGCCACGCTCGAGTCATTCAATGGCCTTTTTGGGGTGAGGGGCCCAGAACTGAACCCCCTCAGCGAGGGGCGGCCTCCCCAGTGCCGAGCCCAGGGGTCAGATCCCT